CCCCAAAACCCCAAAACCCCAAAACCCCAAAACCCCGCCGTAAAAAAATTTGATTGAAATTAATTTGACTTAAAACTATGGACCAAAATCACACCCCTTCAGATATGTTCCTCGGCTCCCTCCCCAGCTGGCCTAAACAAGCTGAACAAGAACCCGAGAAACCAACCGATAGCAATGAAGGCAGCAGCCATGACTCGCCTACAGACCCACTCGCAGTCGATAAGGACCAACAGATGAGTGAAGAAGAGAAGAGAAAACAAAGCGGCAGGAAGAGATCTAAGAAATCAAGGGACAGAAGGAAATTGTACCTCCAGCAACTGGAGATGAAAGTGGCTGAGCTGGAGAAGGAGAACTTTAGACTTCAGAATTTGCTGATCTCTTACAGGAATGACAAATTTGAGATCATGGGTAAAGAGCCTGTATCGTTCATTGAGCATTTTAGAGAGTTCAAAGGGGATATAGTTGAAAAATATATTGATAAAGAAACAATGAAGAAATAAAGAAGGAATTAAAGATAATCTTATAGACCATTTTAATAAACACTATTTAAGTGAAATGGAAGCTCACAGAGATTTCCTTGATGCTACTTTTGAAGCTTTGATTTGCCATCCCTTCCCTTGAGCAAAATAGCAAGTATTGGGGTGATTTTGATCATTCTCCAATAAAAGATTATGTGACGATCCAAAAATTTTCAAATTTGTCCAAATATCAGATACCAGAATTTAAGGAAAAGCATGATCTTAACAAAATAGATGAATTCATCGCTTCTTTGAACCCTACTAAAAGGCAATACAATTTCATCATCAAGCACATCAACAGAGAGAAAGACTTCTTCCGCTGCTACAGAGACGGAATTAACCATCTTCTGATAGCTAAAGATATTTTCGAAAGAACAGTTCCAGCCTACATGATGAATGTTAGACACTTATTAAAGTCAGATGTTATAGACGACAAAACACTGCTAAACTCAAATTTCCCTGAGGATGCGCTTACTCTGAACAATCCATTTAGTGATATATTTAAAATTCAAGTAACTCCAAAAGAGTACGTCAATGATTTCTCTACTTGTCCTGTTTTCGGAAAATTCGCTAAGAAATACTTGAAAAAGGAAGAAAAATCAATGAAGATAAAATACAACCACTTCTCTCTTCCTGACATCACTATATAACCCAATATTCAACCTAAATACCTTCATTAGGGGTTTTGGGGTTTTGGGGTTTTGGGGTTTTGGGG